GGAGAAAACCACCTGGACCTCCATGCTCTTGACCCTCACCCCTAGGGCCATGTAGTCATGCTTGATATTCTCCAGGTCTCCTCAGGCTATTTCAGTTGTGCCTGGTGTGGAAGAGTAGCATGGGGTAAGGGTCCAAGGGATGAATAAGCCTCAGCAGTCTCTCCAAAATGTCCTAGATGGGAATCCCTGGCAAGCACCAGACTGTCCTAGCCAGCAAGTCAGGTCAACAGATTGGGAACTCCATCTCTCACAAGGAGGAAGTATTCCAGTACTACCACTTGCAGCTTCCTGCTGGTGTTGCCATAAAATTGATTGTGTGTATGCAGGTTTATCTGCATGCATGTGAACAAAGTTCAGAACATATTTTTTTTTTCCTTCAAGTATGGTAGCAGACAGCAGTAGTCACCAACAATCGCAATTCTGTTCACCATGTGGTATTTTATTTTTACCAGAAATCTCTGAACCTGTTCAGATGATAGTATTTTGGGCTCAGTCTTGATAGGGAATGAGGATCGGACTGACTCATTGGAAATTGATTTGGTGAAATTAGAAGTATACAAAAGGAGGTGTTGAAAGATGGTTGTCTATTTCAAAAGAGCAGGCATAGAGATCTGCAAGTAAAATCAGTTGCCCAAATAAGCTTGAGAACTTGAATATGGAGATGTCTTGTAATTCTTGTAAGTTAAAGAGAATAGTTTTTTAACCCTTTTCTACAATAACTGGATGAATAACCCTTTGTAAAAGGAAGTCAGAAATAAGAACTGGAATGAAATGCAGAAAAAGACTGTTAAAGCTATCTCTTAGGTCAGAATGGTTACGGAAAGTTAGAAGTGCATATTTGATCTAACTAGTTTGAATTTCAGTAACATTTTCTGTTGAGCTGGGGCAGTTAGTGCAAATGAGAGAGTCATAAAAATAAATACATAAGACATGTATAGTCCTGGCTATGAGAAGAGTGCTGGAGAGGTGATGTCAGAATGGATGTTACTACTGTTTTCTTCAGGATTGTTCTTGGCAGTTGGTGACTGAAAAGTGACCTTAGCATAAAAAAAGTCAATGCACGTTGATAAAATTTGCTGATGGCACAAAATTTAAAGGCACCCGTTATACTTGAGAGGCCATTACAGAAGAACTACATGCCCTTGAGGGTTTGAATTACTGAACAAAATAGCACAAAGGGCAAGGTATCAAAAGTATGAATTATTACAGAGAACTTTTGCAATAGGCTGGGAGCTCATTAGTTGGAAATGCAGAGGATTAGGAAGAGGTGTATGGGCTTAGTTGGTCACAGCTGAGTTTGAGCCATGAGGCCAAATTGAACAAATAGGATGTGAGAATGTATTGGACTATCTTTATTCTGTGGAAGAGGGCAACAGTGATGTTTGGTAGTGAGAAGAGTTAAAAATTTTAAATGCAGTGTGTTTTTTCTGGCCAATTTAGGTCAAAAGTAATGAATCCAGTGTGAACCAGTACAGAGGAGATACTCAGATTTTTGGGCGAATGGTAGCTCTGCTTATGGTGAAAAGTAAAGGACTTTGTTCTGCCTGGCCAAACAAGCCAGAGACTGAGATGGGGTGGTTGTAATTAGTGTTCAGAAGTGTGAAAAACAGTTCAAAACAGAACTCAAACTAGTTTAAGTGGTTATAGAAATTGAAAGTTCTATAATCATTAGATCCAAATGTTCCAGAGTTTGTTTTCGTTTGCCACAATGTGTGTTCTGTGACACAGTTTGAAGGAAGTGTTTTAGTAGTAGAGATCTAGCTCCTGATCAAACAAGGGGATTAGCTTTATCCTTTTGCAGCAGAGGTTGCTGTTCTATTCTGTGGTTTCTTGCAATATTTGGTGTGCTCAGTTACACGAGGGCTCTTTTATTGGTTCCCTTTATTTTAATATTAGTAGGAAAAAGCTATATGCTTAATGAAAGCTTGCAAAGAGTAGAGTCAGCAAAACTGTAATGACAGAATCTATGGAAGACACTTTCTCTATTCAGTCATAAAGAGAGAATATTTATAAAGCAATTTGATTATTTTGGCTATGTTGGAAGTATTCACAAAAATAAATTTGGTGAGAATCCTTTCCAGACGTGATCTTGGAAAAACGAATGGGAATTGGCCATTTGTACTTCAAATTCAAGCAGTTTGTTATGTATCTGGAGGCCTGATCTCTCAGTGTTTCAAATAGAGCAGCTCATTGAAGAGAGACCAACTGGTAGTTTTCCCAAAACACGTTGCCAGTAGTTTAAGGCGCTCACTTCAAACACCTGGTCTCCTGAGAATAAAGTTCAGACCTTCTTACACAGTAAGAGAGCTTTTTCTTTTGTTAAAAAAACTACTACCTTCAGTTGCTGAGAACAGGAATGGCAACTTTTAAATTTTAAAACTAAGAAATGAAGGTACAAAAGTTCTGATTTGGGAAGGAAAAGTTTTTTTTTTTAATAATTAGTAATTTCACAAGGAACTCGAAGAAGGAGCTATTATTAATAATAGTTTTAATTATATTAATTCCAGCTATTATTGAACAATTAACATTTCAAAACGGCTGCAAAATTTTGATTGTGAAAAATGGAACAGGAACAATTCTTCCCTGTTTCTCAGGACTTGGAACAGTTATCTTCCCTGCTTTTCTGGAATTATTAACACAAAATGACTGGGAAAATGTTCTTTTATAGTTGTTTTATAAAACTGTCAGCCTAATACCAGAATCCCAAGACCCTGACACTGTAAAAGTGAAGCTGTGAGTTCTGCAAGTCTCTGAAGATTGTGATGGCATAAAGTAATGGGCTTTAAGATATGATTGTAATAGATGTTTGAGAGGTTGGGGGGAAAAGGGACAATAGCGGATGAATGCATATGGGCAACAGATCTTGAAGAGCTGCTGTCAGGCAGCCCTTGTGTTTTTCTCCATATGAACAACTGCAGTACACTGCGACTGAGCAGTGCTGGCGTTTTAGTCTCTGGAGGTGAAACATGGAATTTGTTAGGCAGCTGTGACTGGGATTAGTTTGTGACTTACCCAAATGCTTTTGTGATGATGTAATGCTTAGATTCCTATGGCTAGTGAATGGAACTAGAAGGCTTGTGTACAAGGATTAAGCGTGCACAGCTCTCTACAGCACGTCGTCTCAAATTCTAACAGTATATATGAAAGTTTAGACTGATAGTTGTCTTCCACAAGGGAGAATATCTGATGCAAGTGTTAAGGTTATTTTTATTCATGAAGAATTCTCAAAGACTGCTTTGAATGTTGAAAAAAGAGCATTCCGTGGGGCACGAGGAGAACCACTACAGCAGAGTTTGATTCTTAGTTTTGTGACCTCCTATAAATGTACTTGGAAGCATTAGTAGGGGCTACTGTATAGCTAAAGGATAACTGCACTGCCGGGAAAACATGAAGTGCCCTGATCTGGTTTCCAAGTTCGAGATGTATTAGCGTATTACGCATGTAGTATTCAATAGCGTGTAACACCATGTAATTCTTGTTGCATTAAAATTAAAGGAGGAACAAGCTTCTTTTGATAGAAGGGACTTGTATCTCTTGTTCTGTTCCTTTCAATGGCAAAAGGGTGATAACCCAGGTCCTTTTGTTTGTTTCCTGAAACTGACTTTGGATAGAAAGATGGATCAATAAGATGTAAATTGGAGAACTTCTTGGTTCTGCTAAAGTCTTGCAGTATACTTAGAAGAGTGTTTTTTCTTTGGACTGATGTTGCCAGTGATCTATTCCTGGGATGATTGTCTGAAAACTGTGATGTCTCATAGCTTACTTAAAAGTATTAGTAATAGTAATGTACTTGCAATTTGTGCCATGTGATGATAGAATCCAGACTGCTCCACAAACACACTGCCTGCAGAATTGAGTGGGTTTATCTCTGGGCTCAGTCAGTCACAGCTAGCTGGTCCTCGAAACACCTAATGTAGCTATGCCATTTAGATACCTCTGGCCAAACTAAAATGTATTCTAGACTATCTTCCTCTCAGAGCTGCATGGGTTAACTACCTAACCTTTGAGGTGTGAGAACAGACATAGCCAGAAGTATAGGTGGGAGATGCTGTATAAGCTAAATTTGTTAAAGAAAGAATGTTCGCTCACTGCTTGTTGGTGGCAAATTAGAAATTTTCATTTCCCTCTTTATGCTTCTACAAAGTTTGGCTAAGTAAAAACTGTGTGGTTTTATGCGTATTTAGGCATTACTGAATTTTTCTTGTATGAGCCTTTTTCTATATCAGCAATATATTTTCACTTAGTTGGTATGAACCTCATCCTTTTAAGAACAATAACAAGTCTTTTGAAATATGTTTTATTTCTTAAGGGAAAGATTCTAAGTAATCCTATCCTATTTTTCTTCATTTGATGACTATTCAATCTACTTATGATTTTCCAGTTTAATTGTAATTTATACATGTTTTTGTTACCTATAAAGGCTCCTTGCTGTTAGATAAAGAAGGTGCACAATCGCATTTACCATCCCTGCACTGAGAGTGAGAAGTCTAAGAGCAGCGGTAGCTAAATGAATACTCGATAGTGGAGAAAAAAACAAATAAGGCAGAATGGTCTGCCAAGGTCTTATGTTCACATTGAGTGCTCGTAGTTTTCATGAGACTGTTCAAGATACTTGGAACAGCATGTTTTTAAGAGTGAATGAGTTTACCCAAACTGAGAGAAGAAGAAAAATAAAAATAAATCCTGCTCCAGAAAACCTTAGAGTCGGGGATAAGGAGGAGGCACGGCAGTTTGTGTAGGTGATCCTCAGTAGGAGAAAATTGAAAAGGATTGCTGGCCACATCAAAAAGAAATAGTAGTCTGTGCGCTGAATGAAGAGTGGGAACAAAATCCTTGAGAGGATCAGATATGTGAAAAATTCAAGAGTAGTACCTTGGGTTCTGGAAAGGAACCAATGTCAAGAGAGAAGGGTAGACAAAAGGTTTATTTTTATTGGTAGTGGTATTTGATCTATTTTGGTTTTAATAGAAACCAAATCTTTGTAAGGATCTTTCACTCCTGATGCCTGGGTGCAGTTTATTGGCAAAGAAAAAGAAATTGAGATAGCAGTGCTTTCTAATGCCAGATAGTATGAAACCTTGTCACAGGGACAGTATTAAATTTGTACTTTACGTACAAGGAAGCATAAATGTTGCAGTGTGTGCACATAAGGGATGTAGGAAGAACACGTTATTTTTGGAGACAGAAAAAGAAAAGCTGAATAAATAGGAATGTGTAGAATATGAAGTGTGTGTTGCCTTTAAAATGTCACGTTTTGTTTTAATGTTACAAATACTAACTTTTCTCTTTTTTTTAATAGACTCTGAAGGCTGATCCAGAAGAACTGTTTACAAAACTGGAGAAAATTGGTAAGGGCTCTTTTGGTGAAGTTTTTAAAGGAATTGACAATCGGACTCAGAAAGTGGTTGCTATAAAAATTATTGACCTAGAAGAAGCAGAAGATGAAATAGAAGACATCCAACAAGAAATCACAGTGCTGAGTCAGTGTGACAGTCCATATGTAACTAAATATTATGGATCCTATTTAAAGGTAAGATGCTCACGGATGATGGTTATTTGATTTTTATAAGTAATTCTTTTCCAAGTTACCGAGTCATGCCTGGTTTTGTTGGCAAGGTTTCAGTCAGATCTCAGTTGAAGAAAAATACTTTTTTGTCCTTTCAATTCTAAAGAAAGAATGAGTTACTATATTTTGTGAAGTATATATTTTTTGGCAGTGTTCAAGGCCAGGTTGGATGAGGCTTTGGGCAACCTGGTGTAGTGGAGGGTTTCCCTGCCCATGGCAGGGGGGTTGGAACTAAATGATCTTTGAGGTCCCTTCCAACCCTAACCATTCTATGATTCTATATGACAGAACTTAATAGAACAAAAAAAGCAGGTATCTTTTTGCTATTTCTGTACAAAAATTAATTTAAATAACATCAATTTGTTAAGCTCTACGTAATATTTTAGATTCTCTTAATATTATGAGAAGATAACTCTAACTGTTGTTTTAATTCAGAATATATAATCTAAGTCTGCATTTGAATTGTCAAAACTTTAAAAACAGTGTAGTATCAACTGCTTGTGAAGCTTGGAAGTTTTCGTCAAGGTTTGCTTAGTGCCAAAGCTTAGGTTGCTTTTTGAAGGAGACTGAACCTAGTCTTGTTCTGAGTAATTTGAAAATTTAAATCTAAAAGTTAATGTATTTGCACATTAGCAAACAACGCATTAGTCGCAAGTGAAGTTAATGGAGAGGTTTCCATTAGCTGCCTTTTGAATCTGCTTCCCTTCCCTCCCTCTGCCATATGAATTAATTTCAGGGTTCAGTTTTCAGTGTGCCAAATACAGCTCTGTGTGTGTGGTTTTATTGTTGGTGTGGTTTTTTTTTGTGTAGGTTTTTTTTTTTTAAATTGGATGGATTTAGTGATCTGTTACCTCTAGAAGGCGGTGAAAATACCTGGAAGCTTTTGGTACTACTTTATTTCTTTGGTCAGACTTTGTTCCCCTCTGGGTAGCTCTTTCTTTTATGACAGTGAGATGGCAATCTAGATAAGAGATTCACAAGGTTTGAAGTTACAAGTAGGCATAATATGCTTAAAATTAATTTTCAGTCTGCTTTTGCTTTTGTGGAAACATTCTATTTATCAGCAAAGACATGAAGGTTCTGAAAGGAGGACACTGTTTTATCTCAGATTTTCTGAGATTGCCAGCTAGTTTCCAAGGAAAAAAAGGAATTTTTCTGAATCCAAGAGATGCATTACTGAAGGGACAGACAGTTTTTCCTTTTTCCTTCTGCTCTGAACTAGTTTGTTTGGACATCTTATCACTGAAGGCTTTGTGAATGGTTGCAGACCTGATAACCTGTCACTGGTACTGGTCTCGAAAGTTACGTATAGTTTAGATCTCAGAAGCCTCAGGAAACACGTAGTTGAGCACAGTGAATTGGTTAAATTTTTCACCATGGCTTTTATTACTACTTTTGAAATTTCTCAGTCTAGGTTAAGTGAAGTATGGCAAAAAGGCAAAAGCGATATTCCTCTCTTGGACTGTCTCTCTGCTTCAAATATGTTCGTTTTAGAGCAGGAACAATAAGATCTTATAGGATAAGTGAAATAGAATACAAGAAAAGTAGTTAGAAGTTTGATGGAAATGCCACTTAATAGTTTTTAAAATATGTAGTAGCAATGTGGCCAAAAAAGAGAATCCAGTGTCCAAATTGGAACTGAGTGAATGTAAAAATTTTGTGAAGAAAGTATGGCAACTGTTGCTTTTCCTAACTGAAGGAGAGAGGAGACTGTAGGGCTGGTAGCCTGAATGGGTTTGGCTGGATGTGTCATTAGTGATGTTTGTGCTTATTGTTGTGAGGAGGACCTTCTGAAAATACTTGCACCTTCTGCATCACTTGTGTCCAGTGCAATAACCTGTGAATTTACCAACTTGTGTCAATTTATAAGATACTGCACTAAGAGTGGCTAGGTATGACTTAGTTACTTTTGGAGGAAAGTACAGCTCTCTGTGCAGCTGGTAGAACGTACAACTAGTCATGTTTATTCATTGCTTCAGTTCTTCGTGAATGTATGTTGGTTTGCAAGACACTTGGCTCTACAGAACTTTTAGTCTTCAAGATAAAAAAACTGATTTCTTTATGCTGTTAAAAATTAATACGTGGTGGTGATTAAGTGATGCTGAAGTGACAGAATCTTTGCAAAGGAAACAATTTGCAGTTCTACTAGCTTTCTAAAGTAATGGTCAGGTCTTGTTATTGGATAGTAATTGTATGTGTGTATGTGTCTATATATAGAAACATGTACATGCACTCTTAAAAAATGACCATATTAATGTTTAAATGAATTGGTTAATATTCTTGGCTAAGAATTTAGGTTTATTTGCTGCAGATCTTTGTTGTGTTTGTGTGCCAGGACTGCCATATGTAGTTCTAAGGGTCTGACTGTCTTTTAACTCTGTTTCTGACAACGTGATAGTCCATCACCACGAATGTTCAACACTAATTTTCCACGTCTTGAGTGATTAGGAGACATTATTTCTTCTGTGATTGGACAGTTAGCTCTAATTACAAGAAATTAATATATTCTCACACAATGAACTTCTTTGGAATAAGCAAGTGGGAAAGTGATAGGATCTTAGGTTATATTGCCAGCCACAGCACCGATTATTCTCTAAAGCCTGTGCAGTGTGATGTGTGCTGACCATGCGTCTGTTGGATCTTGGATAGAAAGAGGTACTGTTTATAGAGAACTCTTAAATTCATTTTCTGTAAATTATTTTTGGCAGACAAATAGAAATTCCAATAACAATTTCAGTCCCTCATTATTTTTTTTCCCCTTCTAGCTCTAGATCAGTCTTTGTTTCCCTGAGTTTCTTGCATATCCTTTTGTGAGCTGAAGAGGTGTCTTCTTATGTAATAACTTTTGTCCTAAGTACTCCCATGTCAGTTGCTGAGTAGGAGTAAGTATCTTTTATGAGAACTTTTTGGTATTTATTTTATTATAACAAGTTTCAAGATACTGGAAAAGAAAAATTTCTATCCTATTTGGGACACTGCAGACCTGATGATTAATATTTCATGACCCTTTCTAGAACAAGTTTATATAATTGCAGAACACTTGCTCTGACATCCTTCAAAAAATTTGACAGATTTTAAGAGGCATTCTGTATTTTCAGCAAGGGTGGTTGATGGGAATTGCCATGAAGACTTCTATGTTTTTGAAGATTTTTCTGGATAGCCAGAATGGTTCGGGGTTTGGATTTTTTTTTTTATTTCTGTTTTTTCTTTTTCTTTCTTTTTTTTTTTTTTTTTAAAGCCAGCCCACATCTCAGTCATCCATCTTTGAGAAATCTGCGTATTGTTCTTCATTTGCTGTTATTCCACATCTGCGTCAATTAAGCTACATGATTATACATGCCAGTGTATTAAGGGACCTATTGCTTGAAATTTTAGAAGGCTTATATAATCCTGCTGTATTGCCTGAGGCCTCTACCATCTTCAGGTGATCGTGAGAATAGCTTGTCAAGTTCTTGGTGTCCACTGCATGACAAACATGGATATACAACTTGAAATTATTGTCATCTAATGAGTTAATGGCAGTTACTTTGTCCTAGAAATTTACATTTAAAAAATAAATTAATTTGTAGCTACTTCTTAGAGTAAGTAGAGTGATGAACTCAAATGCCTTGTTAAATTTTCTTACTCTAAATTTTTTTCATCTTTTGAGAAATATATTTACTTTATAACAATTTTTTTCTTGTCAAAAGACTGAGCCATATCTGTTCGTGTGAGGCGTTACTGCTTTAACACAGAGAGTCTTAAATAAAAAGCAGCTTATTCCTTGCATAGAGCAAGTCTTCAGTTTCCTCTGGACTTTGTTCTTCGTGTCTGTTGTTGGAGGTTTGTGCGTAATTGCTGTGGTCAGTGTTTGTTCAAATAGAGCAATAAGCAGCAGTTTAGGTTGTCATCCTGAATATAAATTAATTTATGGAACATCTTTTTGTCAGTAACTGTAAGGTCTTTATATAAAATGAATTCACATACTCCTTTCTAAAGCCACATTTTAAAATATATCATCTTCATGTTCCCATTCTGTTGAGACAAAAGGCTTTTGCCTCCTGTGGGAGATAGTAAGTACCTAGAACGCTGCTCTCGAAGCATATCGCAGTGACATGGTTTGTATGGATGCCTATATCTAGAGGGATTTCCATTGCTCATCTGCCATGATGTGTTTCCAAACTTGTATCCATGTTCCTTAATGAAGTAGACTTAACAATATGGGTAGTGACTCTGTTACCTCTCTGCTCTGGGAATCATATCTATCCTTGCTGTCTTCCATACGAAAGGTTCATCTGTTCCACTGATCTGATTAAATTCCTCTAATGATAGAGGAACTATAGTTCTTTTTACTTCTTTATAAAATTCATCCATGAAACTTCTCTGGGTCTGTTTACTTCTTCAGATTTTAGGTAACAGCATCTGCTGCCTCCTTTGTAATGGAATAGGGATTCTTTGTGTTTCTTGTTAGATTTTTTTTTTTTTATTTTTCTTATAAAATTGTCTAAAGTTGTTTACTGTCTTTTCAGAGTTTTTCCATACTGTAACTCTTTAAATTCATTCTAAAAGTTTTTCTGTCTAGGAACTTGTCAGCTCTGCTTTTTTCATCTTACTCTGCTTCACCAATTTTTCAAGAGCTTAGTTAGATTTGGTTCTGAAGTTGTTCCTCTTGTCATTTTTAGGCCAAGTTGTTTGGAATCTGTTTTATTTCCAAGATTCAGACGCCTCTCTGATAATGTTTCTTCAGTTTTGTTAATAATTTTAATTACTGCTTTATTATAACTTCATAACACTTTCATATTTCTTTGATATTGCATTATTATTTAGAAATATGAGGAGATTAATTTGTTTATATCTTCAGATGGTTGAAGAAAAAGTTTCTTGGCTTTTTTTTGCATGTATGTATATGTATGTCACTCAAAGGTGAGGTTAATGTATGTATATGGACGAAAGCTGAGATCAATGTTCTATATGTATGTATGCAT